GGAGAGGAGAGGAGAGGAGAGGAGTCATGATCCACCTCTGGATCTTGGCCAGGAGAACATCTGCCGTCTTCGTGGCGTCACCAAGCGAAGTGGCCTCGGGATCAGCATTTGGGAGGACGCACGGTGTCCAAACCGGGAGTGACACGGGGAAAGAAACGGCAGAGATGTGCCATGGCTGCGGGAAGGGGCAGCGATGGGAGACCGCAGGCAGGAGGGACTGCCGGCTGCAGATCGGGCCAACAGCGCTGCCAGACCCGTCCAGATCTGGATGAAAAACCACCACCAAGGAGCGGTGGTTTTTCAGTCAAAAAAGTGTGGGAAGGGAATTTTATTTATTTTATTTTTTTTTTTTAATGCCAAAACATTTCTTTTTGACATTTTCAAAATGCAATTTGTAAACTTTTCCAAAAGGCATTTTGCATTTTAAGTTTGAGGAAAAGAAGAAAAAAAAAAATAAATAATCCCTGGGAGGTAAAAGAGGAGTGGAAAAAAATACCCAAAGAAATGCAGCTAAAACTTTTCCTGCCGTGTCGATCAAGGGTTACCCATTGACCCACTTTTCCTTTCACCCGGGAAATTTTTCCTCCTCTTCATACTGGTGCCAAAAATCCCACCTATTTCCTACGTCCTTTTTGGTTCTCCTCTATTTGGGTTTCCCCCTCCACATTTCCAACCCCGTCCCCCAAACTTCCCCGTCCCTGAGACCCGTTTTTTCCTCCCCGTTCAGCTGCACAACGAGACGACGACGGGGCAGGCGGTGACCGTTGAGCTCTTCCTCACCTTCCAGCTGGTCCTGTGCGTCTTCGCTTCTACTGACGAACGTCGGGAGGACAACCTGGGCTCTCCTGCCCTGTCCATCGGTCTTTCTGTTGCCGTGGGACATCTCCTTGGGGTGCGTAGAACGGGCTAAAACACAGTTCTTGTTAGGTTGTCTTCGCCTTGATGCCCAAAGCCCGCTTGGCCGCGTGCTCCAGGGTGGACGGGGGATTTGTAACTCCTGTGGTGCCCATGGATTTCCAGCGGATAGAGGGGAAAAATCCCACCAAAGCCATAACGGAGCCATAGCCTGAGCTCGCCTTTTATTGGGCATGAAAAAAACTCAACCTGGCGGGCTCTGCTGCTCCTGGAGACCCGTAGGGAGCTGGCGGGGATCAGTGGGGTCTTCTGTCCTCCAGTAAATGCGTCAGTGAAGACCATGATAAGACTGGGATGGACACCCAGGGAAATCCCTCCTGGGTGACAGACCAAAGCAGCCCCCGACCCTCCCGGCCTCCCCGTGCACGCTTGAAAACCGCGATGTTCACACCGCATCTTCCATCCTTAACGGTCTGCAAGCACACGTGTCTATGGGACAATTCTTCTCCCACCCTCAGTGGCAAGGAGAAGCGATTTGCTCCAGGAAGAGGCACAGCAGGAGCTTGTCCCCGCGGTCCCGCACACGTCACCCATCCTGCAGCTGAGCTGCAGCGTGCGCAGGACACATGCGCTCGCACCAAAGATGTGCCAATGCAGACAACTCATCCCCGTTGACTCAGGTGCTGGGAGCTGTTCGCGTCCCTTTTCCTGGAACCGGCACGCTGGAGGGTGAAACAGCAGCTCAGTGAAGGAGTTGTGCTAATGACACACCAGGATTTTTTAAAATGTGCTAAAAGGGCTTAATGCTAACGATGTGCGGTGTCTCCTCGCAGATCCGTTACACCGGCTGCTCCATGAATCCAGCCAGATCTTTCGCCCCTGCTGTGATAGTCGGCGACTTCAGCGACCACTGGGTAAGAAGTCGGGTCTACGAGGTGTTTTGGTGGGATGACCCCCCCCCAGAATTAGCCGTATTCCTAGAAACCCACAGAGCCAGCCGGATTCCTGGCATTTCCATGCCACCTCCCAGCTGGAGGGGAGATGTAGAGATTAGCAAAAGGAGGTGGGGCTGTTGGGTGCTTAATTGGCTTGTCTAAGCAGGGTGCGTTGCAACAGGAAAAGGGCGTGTGATTTGTTGACCATGACCTAACAAAAGAAGCAAAACCAATGGAGCGTGGAGCTCTTCTTGCCGGTCCTGGGAACCTCTCCTGGTTCCAGTTGGATCTGGGCGCACATTTTCCACCAGCTCCTTGGGGAACACCCCCAGGCAGTTCCACCTGCAAAGAGAACATTCAGAGCCAGAGCCGTGGTGGTTCAGGCTGACGTGACCGGAGGTGTCCAGCCCAAGCTGGTAGCTTCCTCCTGCCTATAGTGATGTGTAAATGGGTAGGAAGACACTTCTCCAGAGGAACCCAAATCATTGAGTGTGCTCACGATGGGTCTATCATTAGTGAAGATCACACAGCTCTCAACAGAGGAGGAAGGACAAAGAGGTTGGTTAGGTATATTCAGGCACGACAGCAATGGAGGAGAGTTGAGGTCAACAGCGATGGCCAAAGCAGAGATGGCTTCCGCATTTTGCTCCCAGTGTGCACAGAGTAGGAAGGAACATAAGCCCCCTGCTATGCTCTTCAGATACCGTGGTTCCTCTGCGTCCTCCAAACTCTGGCTGGTTTTTGCTCAACCGATTCTTCTCTTTCACTTTTTCCCAGGTCCCTTTTCCCCAGGTCTTCTGGGTGGGTCCCCTGGTTGGGGCAGCAGCAGCCTCCATCATCTACAATTACATCCTCTTCCCACAAGCCAAAACCTTCTCGGAGAGACTCGCCATCTTCAAAGGCTTCGAGCCGGAGGAGGACTGGGCAGAGCGCGAGGTCCGTCGGCGGCAGTCGGTGGAGCTTCACTCCCCACAGACCCTGCCGAGGGGGATGTCTGAGAAGGTGTAGCCGAACCTCCTCCCAGGCTGAGAGAGGAGCTGGGGAAAACTCGGGCATCCGTTTTAGAGACGGTGTTTGCTCAGATGAGAGTTTCACCTCTCCCCTCTCTCCCTTCATTTTTGCCGAGGGACTAATGTTGACTCATCTCTTGGGGAGATGCACTGTGATGACCCAACCCACCTTCTGTCACCCAGCTCTCCCCAGGGCCGACGGTTTTCTGATATTGGGGGAAAATGTCATTAAATCAAAACCACCAGTGTAGCAACAGAGGACGCTGGGATTCCGCCCTCGGCCGGCTCCTTCCCCGTCCCCCTTGCAGAACTTCGCGCGCGGTGGAGTTTGTTGCTCTTCACGAAGAGCTGCGAGGCACTGCCGAGGGCTGTTATTACAGCCATTTGCTGGGTGTGGAGGTTGCCACCCGATGCCTCATTGCTGCTGAGCTCCGCTCACCCGTCTCCCATCTCTTCTCACTGCTCGGCTGTTTGCGCACAGGAGCGCTCGCTCCCCACCACAACTATCCGACACACCGCAAGTGTTGCTGCTGCCATTTACAACCGCCCAGGGGACGCAAGATGTCCTTCGCTCGCCTGGAGGCTTTGCTGAGAAGACAGGACTGGAAGGACATCCTTGAGTCCCTGCTGACCCCATTGGGGAGCTCTTGCAACTGCTCTCTCCTGTGACAATGAGAAACCTGATTTTCATCCCAAAGTCATCCGCAGCTCGTTTGTTCTTGGACCAGCGTTGTCCTTTAGCTTCGATGCTTCACCTCTCCCCGGTTTTTGCTTTCATTCCTCTGTTCCTCTTCCGCTCTGATTCATAGCTGAGTAACACAAAGCGTTTCAGGTGTGATCTTCTCCATCGCTTGCTTCCTACAGCCCAGACCTTTTCCATGGCTGCATCACGCCAAAGCCTCCTAACCATCCCACCCCCTTCTTCTGCTACGTCAGGACCTGGTTACGGTCCCCAGCTCAGTCAAAGACTTTGGGTTAGTCTTTGGGATGCAGCTTTGCCCTTTCAACCACTAATCTAATCCCTCTTCTGGTACTTATCCTAAAAGCCATACATTTCTGGCACGACATCCTAGCGCTTGTTTTTCTGCTGGTGATGTCTCCCCAGCGCTGCACCGTCACAAAACGTCCTCACCGCATCCAGGCTTTTTCTGCTAAGGCTGTTCATGGAAATATTCCATAAGATTGGACCCAGTTCCAAATCATAAGGGACATTACTGACCATTTTCCTGCCTCTGACTGTTTGGACATGGAACTACCGCCAAATGATGCTCTTCTCTTCCCCTTTATCCGCTGCGCTCTGCTTGTACCGGTCTCCTCCTCCTTTTGAATTCATAATTTCCTCTGTTCCTCACTCTGCTCTTCCTCAAACATGCGCTAACAGCTATTGCTGGAGAGAAAAGGGGTGAAAAAAGCTTTGATCTGACCCAGACGAGGTGTTATCGTGGTGTTCATTTCACGACACTGTGCTGCGAAACGGGGGGGGAGAAACGCTATCACAGATACCGAATTTGATTTGTTGCAGCCGAAGGTCCCCGTTAATCTACTGGTCAATTAGTGCGAATATCCCCAGAAGGCGGCTACTGCAGTGCAGCAGTTTTGGCGCTGGTTTAACCCATTCTCTGCCACAACAACAACAACAAAAAAAAAAAAACCATAAACCAATTCTGGTCCTCCACTTTGTTCCTTCAAAGGAGCGTTTGAGTATTATTTCGGAAAAGGCGTTTCAAAAAATCTGCCCGTTCTCAGCAACGGGGGTTAAAATCGTGTTTCCGATCAATCAGAGTGTAAAACTGTATTTAAATCGCCAAATACTCGGGTTTAAGTCAGCTTGCGTTTTCGTACTTTCCAAAGGAAGACAAATCCACGTATGTCAGGAAAACCCAAAGAAGCTTACCCAGAAGTTATCCTGCCAATGATCTGCCGTAAAAAATGCCATACAGCTGAATCTTTTTCAGTTGTTTTGGGGTGGTTTTTTTTTTGTGCCAACGTACAAGTTAATTACGTGCCTCTTCCCCTTCAGATCGAAGCATTTAAGTTATTATTTACCCCGACAATGTTTAAGGCTCACATAAACTGCACGGGGCCCCAAAAGGAGTTTTGATGTCTAGGGATTACTGTGCTCTTTCAAATAAAGTGCTTTCAATTCGCTTCTGTCTGCTGAATTAGTGTATCCGAATCAAATAATGAGACATTTATGGGCATATAATATATATAAATTGACCTCCCACACCCTAAATCCCACAGCCACCGGTGCAGCGCAGCCCCGTCCGGCTCCGAGCGCGGCTGCCTCGTGCCGACAACCTCTCGATGTGCCCAAGTTGACGTTAAAAGAACAACCCCGGTCTCCAAAAGAGGGACGTACAAAATAAAGACCGTCCCCGCCTCAGCGTCCCTTGGGTGCTCTGATTTCTGACCCCGGCCGGATTCTGCCCTCGGCACACCAGCGTTAACACCAAACCGTCTCACTAAACCGGATTTTCGGATGTCTCGAGCAGCCGAAGTCCTCCCGGGTCGATCTAACGCGAATTCACCTTCTCTGCGGGGTTGCGTCACTGCCTTCAATGACACTTCCAAAACTTGCACCGTCAGGAAACCGAGCCAGTCATTCCAGATTTACACCGGCGCAACTCGAATTAGAGGGCAGGGTCGGCAGCCCAGAGATCAGAGCTGCCACAGACCAACCTAAAACCTCACTAAATTGATAACACTTTGTATATTGGACCTCAGCGGGAATGCTTTGAGCCAGGATTTGAAACCAGCCAGCCCTGCCTGCCCACGAGCTCATGACTTTCCACAATAACGATCTGCAATATCTATTGCACCATACATTAAGCTTTATTGGGTTCATCATGGACCTGGGGTAAATGGTACGATCACGAAATCAAAATGAAGATCACGGTACGATGTGTCTCAGGTCACATTACTTCTTACGTCCTGCCGCCACGTGAGACCACAAGGCTTTCCTTCACCTCCCGTCGTCCCACCTCTGAGTTCTGGAGGTCCTCAGCGTCACCAGGTTTGGGGCGGTCATTCTGCAAAGCCCTACAGGATCCTTGGGGTGCTGTGAAAATTCAAGAGCATTTTGGACGCACCCAGATCCCTTCCCTTGACTTTGCTGCCGCGTTCAGCCCATCCCATCGCTTTAAGACACCAATTAAACGCCATAATACCGTACGTCTTCAGCAGAAATATGTGATTTCTCAGCAACGTCATTTGGACCGCTGGGTGGTCACCCAGGGCACAGTCACACGGTTCCCTAAGAGGAAAGCTCTGGTGAGCTCCTCATCCCACCGGGTCTCCAGGGGCCCAAGACTACACGGCCCAAACGCTGCTGTGTCTCAAGACCTGGAGATCTGGAGAGGCTGCTGGGATGAGCATCCTGGGAGGTGCTCCGCAAACCAAGGCACCACAATGCTTCCCAAAACAGCGACCCTACCCGGGGGAGGAAGGACAGATGCAAAAGCTGAGAGGGATGTGCAAAAAGTTGTTTGGACAAGTATCATCGTCTTCTCAAGCGAAGGAAATCTCCCCTTCTGGTCGCTCCTGTGCCTTCAACATCAGCCGTTCACCATCGACCTGGAGAACGGCGTCCTGGTGCCTTTTACGGGCGCCTTGGAGTGGGCAGCGAGACGTTCCCTCGTTTCAGCATTTCAGGTCCATGAAGGAGGGTTGCAACACTTGCCGATTTTTTTCCCCTCGTGCGGAGGCGGGTGAGAGCAATGTGAAAGCATCCAAATCTCTGCTCTGAATAAAGCTGAGGTAGCCTGGCCTGAGAGCGCAGAGCTGGAACCCAGCGCCTGGATGGTTCCAGGTTGGTTCCTGGGTGGAATGGTTCCCCACCACAGGGCTGGAAATGAAGAAAGCACAGGGCCTTTTCTGGGAGAAAAGAGAAAGAAAATCAACCCGGCTTGGAGGACACCAAACCCACCGTATCTTGGAAAAGATGCTGCGGGGCGAAGCGCTTCACTCCCGTAGAGAAAGGTTCACGCTCGTAGGACAGAGAGGAAAAGATCACAGCACAGCTTCAAACCTCGGAGATCAGAGCCGGGTTTTCCGCTCTGAATTTCTTGGCCTGACCTTGTACGGATCCTCCAGGTCGGGATCTTCAGGGCCATGTGCACACTCAGCTCCCATCTGGCACCTGCCTTGCAATGGCACGACCTACCTAGGATAAAGGCACATCATTATTTTTATGGATCTATTTATATAGGCAGAAATATTTCCCAAGCATGTTTTCCTTGATGGGAGACGCCAGGAGGCCAAATCCATCCGGGAGAGCAAGAGGAGGAGGTACGGCCAGGTATGTTCTGGGAAAGGACCACAGACCTTCTCAGAAGGCGGATGGTGTTCCACGGGGGAAGCCAAACACCCAGCTCGTTCCTTTACCCTCAAGCTTTTCAGCGAGTCCCCTTTCACAAGATTCCACCAAAGGGTCCGGATGCAGGACCAGAGGCTCTGCTTCAATTTTCAGCCTCATTTTCCAGGAATACAGACAACCGAAAGAAAAATCACACGTTTCTCCAGAGGCCACCGAGCGCGAGTGTCTTTAGCTCCGGGTCTGATGCAACAAGGGATGCTACCGCCGGGAGCCTCTTTAAATCCTTATCAATATATACTGTCTGCGTTTTTCATTTGAGAAATTTCTTGGTGCGTTTGCTCCGGGTCTCAGCGGCAGAAATGGGGGGAAAAACTGATTTTCCAGCTCACCAAGGTAACCGGCTCTCCGCACGTTGCCACCAATATTTTGCTCCGCGAATTCTTGGGCTCTGGGAGCCGGGTGATTATGCAAGAATCTGAGCTTTTAAGAGCTTCCAGATTCCTCTCCGTTGAGTTATTTACGGCGTTTATAGGTGCTTCGGAGCCCGGTGGAGCCTCCGGTTCCCCTCTGCCTTGATGCAACTCAACCACCTCCACCCCAGGGATGTCCCCGGCTCTCCAGCCGGCTCCGTGCCCTCCCGGCAGTGGCACAGCGGGGTGGCATTGCCACGGCGGAGAGGGGACATCGCTCTCCCGGCGGCAGCGCCCTCCCCGCA